AGGGAAAGAACGGGAAAGAGAGAGGGTACGGCACAGGGAGAGCAGCTAATACATCATAAACTTAGGAACAAAGAGAAGAGAGGATGTGTCGAGGCTGCGCCGGAGTATCCACAAACTCCGGCATCCTCGCGACGAAACTTTACCTATTTGTTAAATCTTGCCGACCGAAACTGTCTCAGATACTGGCATCGAACAGTACCTCACACCTACGACCTCCTTAACTCTCGTCCTCCTCCTGACTTCTACTTCCTCGATCCTTCCCTGTGCATTCCAGTCGAAACAATGCAGTGGATGTGAAAGTACACCGTCATATCCAAAGCTTCAAATAATAAAGTCAAGTCATCGATGTTGAGATACGCGATATTGTGCTAACTTTTTACCCCCAGATGTTATTTATACGTACAGTGAGCTATTGCACACACTAAAAATATCAATAAATAGGCATATATATTAAGATTATATGTAAAAGGAAACGGTTAAAAAAAAAACGAAATTTATTATTAATATAAATGTACGAAATACTCTTTTTCACACAATTCTCTATTTTATGTACATTTCCAATAAAATGATCCGTTGCAGAAAAATACTTTTATTTTTAACTGTAGAGTATATTGCGAGGAATCTCTCGGTAGAATGCGGCGCTATATTTATATCGCCTCGATATTTATGCGCGATCGAAATTCGTGAACTTTGGCACGTGTGACGCGAAGCAAAAGCTCGTCGACGACACGCGCGCGTCGCATCGTCCGTGCGACTGTGTTGGGAATAGTGGCGAGCTTTGGAGAGAGGGTTTCATTGTGACGACAATATCGCCTTGGGCGGCATTGGCGACGTAGATATGCAAATTTCGAGGAGTACGGCTTAGTTCTCTGCAATTTCACTTTTATAGATTCGTTAATGTTTGATCATGATTTTTGAAAGTTTACTATAATAGTTTTTTTTCTCATAAAATTGTTACAGTTATGAGAAATGTTCTATTAACAGTAAAAGATTATTAAAATAAGCAAAAATTATAGGAAAGAACAAATATTTTTATTCTTTATAAAATTTTACAAAAGTTAAAAATTTGAGATGCATGAATTAATTATTCATTAAAGATATCACACGATGAAACAATAATGCAATTATAAGTGATGTGTACTTTCAATTTAATATTTAAAGATAACTAACAAAATTATTATTTTTTGGTTTCAGGGGACGGCACCTTTCGCACCGCCACGGCAACGAACAACGTAAGTACATTATCAAATTGACGCATTAGAGTTCCAAGGTAGAAGATCTTTCCCCAGAAAACTTCCTCTTCGTTCGCGAGACAAAATGAGACAAACGATCGACATATAGTAATCATGACAATTTCTCGCCAAGTTCTACGCCAATGCATGCATATATGTCGAGTTGGGGGGTTGACAATGTATCTCAGTTGTGGTCGTTGTACGACGTCACTGATGACGCTGAGCGTCGAGTCGGTGGAAGAAGGATGTCAATGGAGAGTAGAAAGGAAAAGGGGGAAATTCGAAGGGGAAGAGACGGAGACGCTTTAAGGTACATAATCACGCTTGCTGGCTCCTTCCCTAATAAAAGTCTCACTGTCAGTTTGTCCTCGGATCGACCCCCTGCACGTGCCCCTCGTCATGTTGCTGCGCTCGCACGACGATATACATACGCATCACATAGACAAAAGTACATATGCAACTGACAGCGAAGGCTCTACGATGCATTCTTCGCTCGTATCTGCCTTCGTGGATACGTAACAGAGATCTGGAATGGATCGGAAAAGAGTCGTTGTATAAGAAAACAAAAGGGTGCGGGGGAGGGATAGAGTAGGGTAGGTAGGTAGAACGCAACGAGAGTTACGGAACCGGATACGGGTTAGAATGATTATCGTAGCAGCATCTGGAGCTGCAATTTTTTCCAATCTCTCGACGCGCACTCGAAGACACAACGTGTTTCCGCGCTTTTCTTCTCGCGCGCATGCACCATCTTCTTCGTCTGATAATACAATAATGTTTCTCCGCGATTGTGTGGCGCGATAGCGGACGTAACATCCGTCGATTCGCTCGAACAGCGATTTGCAAATTAATTTAGCTTTGTCGGTCGACTGTCAACAGTACGTTGATCTTCCACGCAAACAGCACAAACACGACGCGCGCGTTTACGTAATATCGATAGATACTCGGAGGAGTGTCTGGCATTACGATCGCATTGATTGTTTTTGAGAATGCATATGTGTCCAATCTCGCGTATAATTGTATCATTACATATTTATATCGATTTTATAATAGTTAGAAACTATTTATTATATTGCCCGGTTCAATGTTGAATGGCTTATCTGCATCTCGCCGGTGAGCAAGCCTTTTCCGATAAAGGAGCATTAAAGACTATTAAGCGCGATACAAATTGAAAACGCGATCGTCCAGCCTGAGCTTAATTGAGGCCGACCGAATGAAAGAATACACGCGAGCGTAGCCGGGAATGAAAAGAGACGTACTATTCATTCGGCGGCGATTCGACCCTCGAGGTCGTCGACGGAAGGCACGAGGGAAAGACGTAAGGGCGCCTCGGTGTCTTTGCAGCGGTGTCGATGTTTAAAGGGCCAAAAAGCGGTCGAGGGTCCTTGGCCGGGACAGGTCTCAAGGTGCGTGTCTCTGGTGGATTTAAAAGACCCTCACGGCGGGGCATGCCTTCGAACGGTAGGACCTGGCCACACAACCTGGAACCAGATGGCTCGATCCCCCACTTAACCGCCCCTTCTTCCACCTACGTATCTTATAAACCGAAGCGGCCGTCTGAAATGTGAAAATGGATTTTCTCACCCCTCCTTCCGCCGTTTTCCTTCGTTCTTCGAGCGCGGTCGTTCGGCCGACAAAACTTTTTTTCGCTCCCGCCCCCTCGCCGCCCCCTCACGCACGTTAATAACGCATCTCGATGCGGGCCGGCGTCGAGAGAGAGGAGCGCCGCCGTTCGACATATGTTTCGGAAGTCATTGTGCGTCATGCGGCGAAAGACGATGTGTAGCGGTAGTTTGCAGGCCCCGTCAACGGTTTCTCTCTCACCGCGCTCTCTCGCCCGTTCGTTATTAGTACTTTTAATCTCCCGTTATAGACGAGAGCCTCGAAATTGGTGCCGGATACTGTTGAGAGGATCGACCAATCTGCTGCGAACAGAATTCCGCACTTAACTACGGCCAGGGGAAGCGCGCAGGCACCGACAACAGTTACGTGTTTTTTTCCTCTCTGATCGCTCCCTAATACTTTATTCGTTCGTCTAGATATCTTTTTTTTTCTCTTTTATTGCGCCTCGTGCCGAGACGCGACGGTTTAAGCGCGCACGAGCGGTGACTCAAGTGGATGGATAACGATACGTAAAGGAATAACGTATTTATGCATTAGTATACTTTGAGAAAACATAAAAATTCTGCTTTGCTCCTGACTCAATTTTTCATAGAGTTCTATCGCGAACGCTGAAATATTTACCGCTAAAACGCGTAAATTGGTTATTGTGATCATCACGATATTCCTGTGTCTTTGCCATTAAAAAATTTTCCATCAAAACTGTTTTTATCAGATACATATTTTTAGTTAATATTATTGAAATTATTACAATTGTGTCAGAAAAAGAGAACAGCTTTTTTTAAATCAATTTCAGTCAATTTTGAATCAGACGATTATTTTTTCTTATATATGAAAAATGGGAAATTATTTTTAAATGTATCAGTTAATCTTCAGTCGTTTTAATGTTAAATAAGCGCGAGCATTTCACTACACGTATGTACAAATTTATTTCGATGACTTATGCAAAGAAAGTGAACAAAATTACCGCGGAATATATAATGAGAAAGAAACATAGGAGAAACGTCTAAAGAAGCTACGAAGAGGGAAAGATATCTCCTCCAGATGTTGTCGGTCGGAAAAGCTGTGATTCGCTGAACCACGGCTGGCACGCGCTGCGGAGAGACGAGAAGAAGGGATGCTGCGTGTAAAAGGGACGGGGCAGGTTTTACAGGCTCGACATTATGTTTACCACACGAAACGCCCCCGCAACGCCTCGCCGCAAAACCGGATGTCTCGTGCTGTGAATTAGCAAGATTTACTAGCGGCGACAAATCGCCGGCGCTGCTTGCCTTCTCTTTTAACCGAGGCGTGAAAAGGCCTCGGCCGATCGAGGCTCGTTATTGGCGACGTTTAGAAATCGTTTAGAGCGGGACCACTTTGCCGGAGATATATCGTACAATGCGAGTAGCCGCGTTGTACCCTGCTCGTTTACTTTATAAATCTTTTGCTCTCTGCAATTAGGCTGCCGTTGGCCCTTCACAGTCCGTTGAGACCGTCAGTTGAGGGCACGGAAACAGAAAAATTTCTTTGACTATTTCTACGGCCACTTTGTCACGTTAACAAGACAGCTTTAGGCAAAATCAGAGCATACAATAATGCCTGCCTACGATTGTCCGGAAATCTTTGTCGACACATCGACGATGCATTGATCCGCCTACGCCAATTATTCGTATATCTCGATATTGTGCGCAAAGAAAAAGAAATCAGCTATATAACATATATAAAAATTGAATTATACGAATAGCTTAATATATATATAAAATACAAAGCGTATTAAAAATCATTATTTTTTGTGAAAAAATTTTGAAATGATATTTAATGGATGAAATATAATATATTTTTTAAATAAGATTTTTAAAGCTAAGAAATTTAAATAAAAAAGATCTAAGTTTTATTTTTTAAGTATTGAAGAAAATATATCTTATCGTAATCAAAAATTAACGATATAAATTTCACTATATTAATGAACTTATTTTTGAAACTTCTACATAACTAAATCGAAGAATAATAAAGATCTCAAGTACACACAAAATTTATTTATCTAGATGTATTTTCTAACGGAAAGATATATCTTTTCTCGTTTTAGATATAATTGTGCGCGTGTATGCTTGCCGATGCGTGACAAATGCGCGTACATAGTGGTATTCGGAAGTACGTTCCCTTCCGTGCGAGAATCGCATTCCCTGCATGTATGCGTCTACGTACGTGTCTATGTGTATGTGTGCGCGAATCGTTTCCGTATACTAATACCCCTACAAATCGATCCGTAGCTCCGTCACCTTGATAACCTCTTTCTTTTTTCTTGCTCGCTCCCCCTCGATGGCGTACGCGCCGAGGGAGCTGACGGACGTCTGTGGCCAGACGGAATTTCTATGGGGCACCGGCGGGGTACCCCATGGCAGTTCCGTCCTCTAATGTGGAAGTAGCTCGTGCTACCTGAGCAGCTGGGCATGTGTGCGCGAGGAGAAGGGAACTCCCTTCGCGGGAGTTTTATTTTATTTTGCCTCGCCTTATGGGATATCAAAGAGAGCAAGAGAGAAAGAAACAAAAAAATGAGGGGAGGGCCCTGTAGATAGACACCGCCAGGTACCCCGTAGATCCAACGTCACGCTTGAGAGGGGGGCCATCTGCCCCCTAACGAGTGTGTGACGTCAGGTGTGACGACGTGTGCTGAGTTGAAAAGGAGCGTCCGTCTCTTATGTGTATCGTGCTCTTTTTCTTTTTCCCGAATGCGCATCAAAATGTTTTAATTGCGACCAAAAATAGTCTATTATAATATGATTGTATAAAACTCGAATGAGATGTATAAAATTGCCTTACAAATACTATGTTGAAATTTTCTATCTCTAAAGTATAAAAAAATATTTAATTTTTTTCTCCACAACATAAAAAAGAATGTAATTTGTGATTTTTACAATTAGATTTGTAAACTTTTAATGACGTATTTGCGGAAATTGCTCTTCATTAGATCTTTGAAACATATATTAAAAGCATAAAAAATTATTTGTTCGCGGGTACTAAAAGAGAAATATAATGGGATATTTGATTGGGATATATTCGAATTTCCTGGTAATATTCACTTCATCACACTGCGCGTTGCAACTCACTTTTATCGTAGTAGGCGTATTTCGTATCTTTAACAAGACCGTTATATTGTTCTTTATCACGAGGCTCGCTGTTATCGCGCGGGGCGGCTTCTAAAGATACATACGTATATGCGTTACATTGTGTATATGTAGATGCACGGATGCTTCTTCTATCGCAAGAATATTAGATTTGAAGAAATGGAATGCAAATTAAAGAGAAAGAAAGCTTTTTTGTGAAATTTATCAACGTAGCGAAAATCTCAACGTGCTTTCCAAATTTATCTCTTTCCTTCGCTTCGATAAATGAATCATATA